CTTTTCACTTGCACCTCATTCCTTTTAGCCACCTATATGTTGTCAGGCGGGGACAGTCCTTGGAGAAGGACATCATGTTTGAATGAGTAGGTCAGCACAAGGGAGGAAGAACCTCAGAGAGATGAATTGTTATCCATAGCGTTTCTATGACTCATCATCAACTCAATGGCACATAACAACAACATACAGAAGTTATTCCATTTTTTGTTTATCCTTTTGTGTTTCTATAGGCAAATATATGTGCATATTTGTATTCCCCTACCATTTTTTCATGAAAGATAGAATGCCATCTATATTGTTTTGACTTTACTGCCTTTTACATTCACCAGTACATTCTGAGATTACCCCTATGCATAAAAATACCATCTCTCCTTCTCTTCCCTTTTACCATGTTGTAGAAGTTTTTGGATGTGCATAGGGATTTGATTCTTAGAGATCCCATTCATCTGTTTTATCCTTGCTTGGTTGTAGGTTTTTCAGGATGCTTGGAAGACTATTGATGTTACGGACTAGTGCTTCTAGGATTCTTCCATGCTTTTCTGTAATGATGTTTATAGTCCTGATTTTAGTCCTAGGTCCTTGATCCACTTTGAGTTGGTTTTTGTGTATGGTGTGAGGTGTGGGTCTTCCTTGAATTTTCTGCAGATACTTTCCAATTTGCCAACACCGTTTGTTAAAAAGCCTGTCGTTTCCCCACTTAACTGATTTTATCTCCTTATAAAAAAAATCAGTTGACCATAGGTAGATGGGCTGGTTTTTGGATTCTCAATTCGATTCCGTTGATCTATGTGTCTGTCGTTGTACCAGTACCACACTGTCTTGACCACCATGGCAGTGTAGTGGGATTTGAAATCAGGGAGTGGGATGCCTCCTGCCTTGTTTCTCTTTTTAAGGAGTGCTTTGCTTATTCTGGGCCTCTTTCCATTCCAGATGAAATTGGAGATTGCCTTTTCCATCTCATTAAAGAATGGGATTGGTATTTGTATTGAGATTGCATTAAATGTGTAAATAGACTTTGGTAGTATTCTCATTTTCACAGTACTGAGTCTTCCTATCCATGAACAAGGTATATTCTTCCATTTCTCCAGGTCTATTTTTGTTTCTTGTAGTAATGTTTTGTAATTTTCTTTGAATAGGTTCTTTGCCTTTTTAGTTAGATTTACTCCCAAGTATTTAATCTTGTGATTAACTATTGTGAAGGTTATTGTTTTTCTTAGCTCCAGCTCTGTATTCTCTTTGCCACTGTAGAGAAATGCAGTTGGTTTTTCTATGTTGATCTTGTATCCTGCCACTTTGCTGAATTCGTCAACTATGTGCAGTAGTTTTCTTGCTGAGTCTTTAGGGTTTTCTAAGTATACTATCATATCATCTGCATAGAGAGAGATAATTTTACCTCCTCTTAGCCAGTTTAGATACCTCTTATTTCCTTCTCTTGTCTTACTGCTATTGCTAAGAAAGACTTCCAGCACAATATTTAATAGGAGAGGTGATAGTGGGCATCTTTGCCTAGTTCCTGTTCTCAAAGGGAATGCCTTTAACCCCTCTCCGTTGAGAGCAATGTTGGCGCTTGGGTTTGCATACATACCTTTTACTATGTTAAGGAAATTTCCCTCTACTCCTATTTTGTTAAGTGTTTTAATCAGGAAAGGGTGTTGGATTTTGTCAAATGTTTTTTCTGCATCAATTGATAGGATCATGTGGTTCTTGTTCTTTGCTTTATTTATGTGATGAATTACTCTGATTGTTTTTCTTTTGTTGAGCCATCCTCGCATTCCTGTTATGAATCCCACTTGGTCATGGTAAATTATTTTTTTGATGTATTGTTGGATTCTGTTGGCCAGGATTTTATTCTGGATTTTTACATATGTGTTCATGAGAGATATTGGCCTATAGTTTTCTCTTTTGGTGGTGTCTTTACCTGGCTTTGGTATCAAGGTTATGTTTGCTTCATAGAATAAGTCTGGGAGAATTCCATCTTTTTCTATATTCTGAAATAGTTTATGTAGAATTTGTGACAGTTCTTTGAATGTTTGATAAAATTCACTTTTTTGGCTGGAAGTTGTTTTATTACCTTTTCAATTTCTTCTTTTGTAATGGATCTGTTCAGATGTTCAATTTTGGTTTGTGTCCATTTAGGTAGGTTGTGAATTTCTAAGTATTTGTCTATTTCCTCTAGGTTTTCATATTTGTTTGAGTATAGTTTTTCTTAAAATTCCATTGTTAGCTCTTTTATTTTAGTTGGTTCTGTTGTGACATTGCCCGTTTAATCTTTTATTCAGATTATTTGTCTTTTCTTTCTTTTCCTTTGTTAATTTTGCTAGTGGTTTGTTAATTTTATTGACCTTTTTTAAGAACAAACTCCTAGTTTTTTTGATGGTTTCAATTGTTTTTCTGATTTCTATTTCATTTATTTCTGCCCTAATTTTTATAATTTGAGGGTTTTTAGAGGGTGTCAGGTTTTCTTGCTGTTCTTTTTCAATTTGTTGGAGATGTTGGGTTAGAGAGCCAGTGGTCATTTTTTTCTGCCTTTTGATGTGTTTACTTATTGCTATAAATTGACCTCTGATTACTGCTTTGGCTGTTTCCCAGAAGTTTTGGTAAATTGTGTTTTCATTGTCTTTTGTTTCAAGAAACTTTTTAATTTCATATTTTATTTCTTCTAGTATCTACTCATGTTCAAGCAAGGTGCTGTTCAGCTTCCAAATGTATGGTTTTTTCCCTCCTTTATCCTCTTGTTATTAATTTGTAATTTTTTAGCATTGTGGTCTCAGCAGGTGCTTTGTATTATTTCTATGTTTTTTAATTGATTGCTGCTTGCCTTGTGACCTAAAATGTGATCTATTCTCAAGAATGTTCCATGCACATTGGAGAAAAAAGGATACTGTGCTCTTTTGGGGTACGTTACCTGTGAGGTCAAGTTGATTTATTGTGTGCTTTAAGTCTTCAGCATCTTTGTTGAGTTTCTTTCTGGTAGTTCTATATTTTCTTGAAGAGTGGTATATTGAAGTCTCCAACTACTATAGTGCTGTTGTCTACTTTCTTTTCCAATTTTGTTAATGTTTGTTTTATATATTTTTCACCTCTATCAGGGTTTAGGGTTGTACATAGGGTCACTGTGAGTCACAAGTGCCATGATGGCACATAACAACAACATCATTTGGTGCATAGATACTCATTATTATTATGTCCTCTTGTTCTATTGACTCTTTAAGCATTATGTAGTGACCTTCCTTGTCTATTGTGATGGTTTTTGCACTGAAATTTATTTTATTAGAGATTAATATCGCTATTCTTCCTTTTTTCTGGTTGACATTTACTTGATATATTTTTTTCCATCCTTTTATTTTTGGTCTTTCTTATCTTTACTTTTCAGATGTGTTTCTTGCAGACAGCATATTGATGGATTTTGGTCTTTTATCCAATCTGCTACTCTTCTCTTCAGTGGTGCATTTAAACCATTTACATTCACTGTGATTATTGAGAGGCAAGGTTTCATTGCAATAATTTTGTTGAGTTCTTTTTGGTGTTGTTGATAGTTATATTGGTCCATCCTGCTTTCTGTGGCACCTCTGTAAGAAGGACATCTCTTAGTGTTTCCTGCAACACTGGTCTTGTTTTTATGAACTCCCTTAAGTTCTGTTTTTCTGGTAATATCTTGATATCTCCTTGATATTTGATGGACAGTTTTGCTGGGTACAGTATTCTTGATTGACAGTTGTGTTCTTTGAGTGTTCATTATATGTCATTCCACTGTCTGTTTTGTACTGCTGAGAAATCGATACTTAATCTTATTTGCTCTCCCTTATAGGTTACTCTTAGCTTCTCCCTGGCTGCTTTCAGAATTCTCTTCTTATCTTTGGTTCTGGCAAATTTGATTATGCTATGCCTTGGTGTTTTTCTTTTGGGTCTATTTTATATGGTGTTCATTCAGCTTCTTGAATATCTATTCTTTCATTGTTTATTATGCCTGAGAAGTTTTCTTCTAGTAATTCTTCCACAAGTTTTTCTGTGCCTTTACTTCTTCTTGTTCTGGGATTCTGAATATGTGTATGCTATTTCTCTTTATGGTTTCTCACATTATTCTTAGGTTTTTCTTTTCCCCCCCCCTTTTTGATTCTGCTTTTTGTTCTAGCAGATCAGTGGTGACAATTCTTTTATTTCACTAATTCTGTGTTCCATCTCTTCAACTCTGTTCATGTGTCCCTCCATCATGTTGACAGTATCTGAAACATTGAACCTCATATTTTGGATTATGGTTTCTTGTTTTTCCTGAGCCTCTAATGGCTTGTTTGTTTTATCTGCATTGTTTTGGACTGTTTTTTTTAAGCTCCTCCTGGTTTTTGCTTGCAGTGTCCTGTACTTCTTTGTCTTTCACGCATTGAAAATATTCAATCATTGCTCTCTTAAATTCTGTGCCAGAAAGTTCTATCAGACTTTCTGGCTTCAGGAAATTTATTGATACTGTGTCACTTTTTGTGGGTGACTTCTTGCTTTGGGCTTGTGTTGAATGTTAGGTAGCCTGCCTCTTATGTGACATTGCTGTGGTTCAGTTCTTCATGCCTGAGGCAATAGCAAGTTCTTTGTCTTAAGTCACTGCTCCAGAAGAGTGGAACAGCTACTATGACTGTGTTTCTCTCTGAACTTCTGACCCAAGGGTAGATTTGCTTCAGTTTGGGAGAGAAAAGGCCTTTGAACACAGCCTCTTCTGTCAGACAACTGTTGCAGCTAGGCCAGTCCACGGAGCTCCAGGCTGTAGTCAGTCAATTGACTGGACATGAGGAGATGCAAAGTGGAGCATGGAAACACATGCAGGGTGGGCACATGCACAGATGCACACAGGGTAGGCATGCATGTAGGGCAGGTGCATGCTGATGCATGCAGGGTGGGCATGTGCAGGGACCTGAATGGAAAACCACGAAGCCTTGATTTTCCCCTCGAGGACTGGGTCTGATGCCTCACTTGTGCTCCAACTATCTCATTCCCTTCTGCTTGATCTTTAGGGGTCCCATGTAGTCCAGTAAAACAATAGTGATCCCCATAAAGTACCTCACTCAAATTCCACCTGTCCTTCTTGCTCCCAGCGGGTCATTCCTGGTGGGTCACTCCTGGCAGGTCGTTCCCGCTCTGAGTCAGCGTCACTGTCAACTCAGTTCACTCTTTTTTGAAGGTAACCATCCAATTCTGCTAATGACATGGTGGCTGCAGACAACTGAAACTACTTATCTTTAATACCTTTGGATTCTTACTGGCATTTAAAATGTCTTTCTAGATCTAACACAGAGAATTAGTGTTCCTCTTCCCCCAGTTTTTTTCTTTTTATTTTTTTCTCTTTTTTAAATTGGTTTACTTAAACTCATATACATGTGTTTTACACTGTTCTTCATTCATATTGTGTTTCATATAATCATTCTCATGCATTATGTTTTATAAAATTAATCGCCATTCAACCTTGCCAATCATTACCCTGTTTTTTCACCCAGATCCTTCCCTTTTAAGTCTGATACCTGTAGAAAAATCGAAAGAGTAACAGTTACCCATATACTCTCTTAATCTATTTATAAATTCACATGTACACATTAAAATCTTGTTAACAATGTCAGAAGGTAGTATTCTTTTTTATCATGTGAACTCTTTAGTGTATGGATAAATTTGCAATCAAGAGAATCCTCTAATTGGTCCAGTATTTTTGTGTGGAGCAGTCAGTAAACATTATCTAAAACAGCAGAAAATATCATAAATAGTCCATCTTCAAATTTTAAAAAGAATAATATATTTTAAATGATATTATTTTCTTTTTAAAATAATTTATTTCTTTTGTTGTTTTTAAAATGATACATAGCATAAAATATAACAATTCAACATTTTTGTTTGTTCCATTTAGTGATATTGAGGTGTGTATCTATTCTAATCCTCTTTTCCCAAGTTGTTCTTCCTCCCATTAACGTAAATTCGCTGCCCCCTAAATTTCCTTTCTAATCTTTCGAGTTGCTCTTGTTAGTTTGATTCTGTCTAGATAGACCTTAGCACAGCACAATGCTCAAGACTGACTCTCTTTATTAGTTAAGCTAAACTATTACTTGGTTTTAAGATGGCTTGAGGAGATATTTTTGGTTTAAGGTAGATTTTCTTAGGGCAATAATTATAAGGTCTCATCCAGCATCCATTGATCCAGAAATTCAATCTACTGTGCATTCTCCCCACCCCAATCAAGATTCTTCTGTAGAAACTTTGACTGGTCAGTAGTGTGGACAACCATTATCCATTTCCCCTGATTATCCACCAAAGTTGTTCGTGGAGGAAATTAGCTGCCCCTAAACTTATCTACCCCTAAACTTTATCTTTGCTTCTCTTTAGGCCAGCATTTGTAAATCCACTTGTCATTGAAAGCCCAGAGGAAGAAGAGCTCTTTTCACAAGGAGAATGTATGTTAATTTGTTTATTATAAGATATTTTCAATTTTTTTTACTTTATTTACATTAATTAGACTGCAGAAAATATTTTTAAATATTTTATATGGACTCTATACCTTCCGAGGTCTTATTTATACAAAGAATTTATTGAAGTTAAAAAATCCTTTTTACCTTTTGCTCTGTAAACCAAACCTATAGCCATCGAGTCATTTCCAACTTATAGCAATCCCATAGGATAAAAGAGAATCACCCCAAAGGGTTTCCAAGGCTATAATCTTTATGAGAGTACACTACCACATTGTTCTCTTCTGGAGTATTTAGTGGGTTCAAAACAGCAGCCACTTTGCTTGGAAGCCAAGTGCTTAAACACTCTTGTCATTAAGGCTCCTTTCTGCTCTACAAGGTCCCTATTTTTGTTGAACATATTATATTTATTAAATGAAATATTTTTTAAAATAATTTTTATTGAAGTGGAAAAAACATCTTTAATGAAATAACTCCCTGTCAGAGCTCTAGTTAAGAATAGTGGCAAGTAGACCACACTAACATAATTCCCATCTAAAAGCAAAGATTCACTGGAAGTTTGGTGTAGCCTATACAGCTGCCTCTTGGATATGTATGATTACCAGTGGGCCTTTTGAAATCTGGAAATAACTGTCATTGTAGGATCTAAGAGACCTCAAGCCAGAACCCTCCTTTGTTGTATAGTGAGACCCTCCTGATCACTGCTCCTTTTCATTTGCCCACATTCCAGTGAACAAGGGGAGAAGAATTGCTTTCAGCTCAACATCATTACTGAAAGTGGCCCCCAGTGCTGAGGAGAGGACCACCATCCATGAGATGTTTCTTAGCACGCTGGATTCAAAGTAAGTTAGGATGGTGACACTGCACATTGGGAAAGTATTTAAATACTGCACTTCTTCAGAGCCACACTTGCTTTCATGAATGTGTTAGGAGTGGTTTTCAAGTTTTTACTTTTCAGCAGCAAAAGCATGGTGTTAATGGGGTTTAATACATCTTGATTTATACAGAACCATAAGTTTTCGAAGTCGAGTTTTGCCACCTAATGCAGTATGGATGGAAGATTCAAAACTGAAGAGCCTGCAAATTTGCCATCCTCAGGTATTATCATTTGGGGCACGGGAGGGAGAAATCTGAGTAGGATACTGTATGATAACAGGATTTGATTGTGTTTGTAGTTTTCGTTTGAGATTTATTGCACCTTTAAACTGACTTGCATTATCTGCCATTAGTTCTTTTTTCTGTATCTGAGGATATCCACAAGTTTTTATTTCTTAGTATTTCTTTTATGTCCTATAGGAACGGAACATTTTCAATAGGATCTTTGGTGGTTTCCTTATGAGGAAAGCATATGAACTTGCGTGGGCTACTGCCTGTAGCTTTGGGTGAGTTCTTTATAGGTAGTCCAACTTGTGGGAGGTAATTTATACCAGCTCACTGATATGAAGCATTTTGGACCAGTCTGGATGTGATGGGAATGTGTTTTGTTTTTAAAGAATAAACACGATAATAATGTCAGCTAGGTTTGATCTTTGCTCTGACCTTGTGAGTTAGTACATTAAATGGCTATGGAGAGAAGGAGGTGCTATTATATGGAAGGGCAAAAATAGAGTGATTTGGGAACACATCTGATCTCAGTGGCATCTTTTTCCATTACTCTTGGTTGGCTGTTATGATTTCTCCTTTCTCTAAGATTATTTTTGTTCATGTTTGTTATATGTAGCTAGCTGTTAGGATAGAATAAAGATCTTCTGAATTTTGTAGTGGCCAAACATGACTCCTTTATTCCAAATGCTTTTTCCAACTAGTGGTTCCCGACCATTTGTAGTAGCAGTGGACGATATCATGTTTCAGAAACCTGTTGAGGTTGGATCACTGCTGTTTCTTTCTTCACAGGTAGGTACTGACAAGAGATGAAATATGTATGTGTATTTGTGTGTGTGTGAGAGAGAAAGAGAGTGAAAGAGAGAGACAGAGAGAGACAGAGAGAGATAGAAATAGATGATAGATAGATAAATTTGGGCCTAGAAGAAAAGTTTCAATATCCTCAAGCCATTGTTTCTCTTACAGTTACCTTTTTCCCCTCTTCTTAACTATATTAATTCTATTGTCTTTAATTTTTAAGGTATGCTTTACTCAGGACAAGTACATTCAAGTCAGAGTACACAGCGAAGTGGCTTCTCTTCAGAGTAAAGAGCACACAACCACCAATGTCTTTCATTTCACATTCATGTCAGAAAAAGAGGTTCCTTTGGTTTTCCCTAAAACATATGGAGGTAAGTAGCAATTATTGTTTGTCTCTAACAAAGGGGAGAACTTAAGAATTTCTTTTCTTTTAAATTTGTTGTAAAAAGTATAAAAGGACCCATCAGCATAAAAGCATATCTTTGGGAGATTTTGCTTTTGAGCTTTTATAGCCCTAAATTAAGCCAAAGATAGCTCAGGGCCCCCAGGGAAGCAGTTACTATTCTGCCCAATGGGCTGTCTGAAGAGCTACTATTATCTGCAAGCAGCTGTTGGTAGTTAAAGACTGACCCAGACTTTAAGGAAAGGAAAGAAAGAGAAATTGTGGCCTGTTCCTCTGGGGACATTGTGTACTTCCTGGTCTAACAGTGAATCTCTATATATGAATTTTCATTCTCATTGCTGTCCTGTTGGTTCATAGTCATGGACTTGTATGATGATTTTCTAAGGTGCTGCAAGTTTATCCAGGGTTATCTTTCTTATGTTTCAGAGTCCATGTTGTATTTAGATGGGCAGCGGCATTTCAATTCCATGAGCACCCCAGTGGTCTTGATGAGAAAGGATTACCCAATGGAATCGTAGGATTAACGAGACTTCTTGAAAAGCAGCTGACCACAATAACAAGTATTTAATGAAAGCTTGACCACATATTTTGGTTTTATTGTTATTTTCTTGCTCCATAAAGAAGAAGAATGTATTCTGGTTTTAGAACAATCAGAAAAGCAGAGTGAGGGAGTTGGCTGGGTGAGGAGAGAAAAGCGTTATTAAATAATAAATACTTACAAAACAATTTTGTTGTGATCTTATCAGATTGGACTCTGTCTTCTAAGTTAGGTTGCTGTACCTTTTTATACAGTTGGACACATTCTTTTTTTATGCTTTTATTGCAACCACTTGTAAGAGTTTTTCAGCCAAGACCTTGGCATTCTTTAAGACATATCTTTGCTACATTTCCAAAATCTCAGCAACTCTACATGATTGTAATCTATTTTGCTCCTATATTTAGCCCCATTTTTCTTGTTGACAGAGGAAAGATGAAAAATTTGGGCATAGGGATTCAGTCAAGGATCTTGTATATGAAAAGGCTTTTGGGAAATTTTAGATTGAACGTCATACCACTAGGAAGTGCTTAGAGATTATCTAAATGAGAAAGCAAAAAATCATTTCATCCACCTCTGCTAAGGACAGGGCAGGATATATCTGATTAAAAAAAACAATAATAGCTGCTTATGCTTACCGTGTACCTAGGTACCTTAAATGTATTACTTATATGACTTCTAACAGTGCTATGAAGTAGGTTCTGTCACTCCTTCATAGGGTTAGATCACTCAAGAAACTAAAGCACAGAGAGATAAAGTGGCTGCCTCAAGATCCTACAAATGCTAGTGCTGAGGTTAAAGATAAGGTAGTGTGGTCTAGCATGTTTTTGACCTGTACACTGTACTGCTTTCATGGGATCTACCAAGAGAGACCATATCCAATAGAACAGTGTAACCTAATAACACAAAGGGAGGGATTTCTGTTGGTTAACAGCCAAAATAAGAGTTTCTTCCTTGATGGGATGTTATTCAAGTTAAAGCAGACAGAAAACAGTCTATATCAAAGAAAAAAGCATACTCTGAAAAAAATGCTCCCAGGAGCATTGTTTAGTTTGGATTCTAGATCAGTGGCTACAAACTTGACTTTACATCAGAATTAGATTAAAATCCCAGCAGCCTTCTTTAATGAAATAAATGGAAGAAAGAATAAGGAGGGAGACCTCTAATAGCTAAAGCAATATTGAAGAACAAAGTAGGAGGTTCCACACTTACCAGTCTTAAAGTTTATGATACAGTCATAGTAATCAGTATAGTCTGGTACTGATTTAATGGTAGCAGAGACTAATGGAACATAGTTGAGAAACCAGAAGTAAATCTATATATCTTTGGGCAGCTGATCTTCAACATAAGGGTGAAGTCTCTAGATAAGAGAAGAAGCAGTCTCTTAACAAATGGTGCTGGCAAAATGATATCCAGTTACAGAAAAAGGAAGAATAATTATGATCTTTACCTCACACCATGCACAAAAAGTAACTAAAAATGGATCAAAGACCTAAATGTTAAAACTATAAAGTTTCTGGAAGATATAACACAAGGTCAAAACTAGAGGAGCAAATTTTGGGCATAAATAGTCATCAAACAAAACTAAAAATGCATGAATGACAGCAGATAGACAACTAGATTCTCCTAAATAAAATGAAATATGTGTACTCATCAAACTGTAAAAAGATAGCTTACAAACTGGAAGAAAATATTTTTCAATGACATATCTGATAAGGTTCTAGTCTCTAAAATAATGTAGAAAACTTCAACAACTCAATAGCAAAAACTCAAACCAATCAAAAAAATGGGCAAAGAATATGAACAACTATTTCACTAAAGGGGACATTCAGATAGCTGACACATGCATGAAAAGATACTTGAAATCACTAACTGTTAAAGAAATAGAAATTGAAACTACAGTAAAATAACTATTTCATCCCTACAAAAATTGCAGTGACTTTAAAAACCACAAATGCTGGTGTGGCTGAGGGTTGCAGTAGACCTCACTGGTGGCATTGTAAAATAGTACAACTACTGTGGAACATTGTATGGTGCTTCTTCAAAAAGCTAAAAACAGAAATACCCTATGACGTAGTCATCCCATGCACATTTATGTTCATTTGTATTCAGGATGGATGAACAAATAGTGGAATGTTGTTGTTAAAGAATAATGCGTTCGTGAAACAGCATAGATGAATTTGGAGGACAATCACAAATAGACAATCATTGTGTGATCTCCCTATTATCAGAAGAAGAGATATACACAGAGAAAGGAAGATATTGGAGGATTACCAGGGAAGAGAGGGAGAGGAAATAACTACTTTCTAGATGATAGATACTTGCTACTTTTGGTATTGGGACACCCAGTCCCAAATAGACCAAAATAAATGATACTAAGAAGTACATTTTATTGGCGAGCTCTGGTGGCCTAGTGGCAAGAAGGTCTACTGCAATCCCAGAGGTGCACAGTTCAAATCCACTAGATGCTCTGCTGGAGAAGGAGGAACAATCTCTGTGAAAACTAGGCCAGGAGCTGATTGTGGAACAGACCACCAACTACTCATATGCAAGTTCAAGCTGAAGTTGAGGAAAATGAAACCAAATCCAAGGCAACCAAAATATGACTTTGAGTCTATCCCACCTGAATTTCACAACCATCTCAGGAACAGTTTTGAGGCCTTGAA